CACAAAACAAACCCAACAAGATCAACTAAACACCCCGCACCCCCGCACAAGAAACAACAACAACAAAACAAACAACATGAATAATCCAAACGAACAACAACAACAACAACAACAACAACAACAACAACAACAAAAACCCCAACAAACAACAAAACAACAACAACCAAAAAAATCGAAACAACAGTATGATAAATTAATAAAATGCAAATATGTAACACTAATTATACCATAAAGTATACCACAAACAATAAATATGAGGCAGCGTGGTGGAATCAGGCTCTCGTCAAAATAATCAAACTGAAGAAACTTGCATTTTTCTGCAGATGTGTGAATTTTTATCAAATTTTTGTTTTTTGGCTCAACATCTTTCATGCCCATTAAAGAACTCATTTCTGAGTGGCTTTTTCGGAAAAAAACGTTGATTAAAGACACAAAAAAGTAAATTTTCAGTTGACCTGGACTCTTGAGCTGAGGAAATAACTAATCTTTGGCTACCATTTTCTCACTAATTCTACCTCTGAAAACAGGTGACCCCACCTCCTTCATTCGCAAATATCTCGACTTCTATTCAAGATAAATGGATATTTTTTCATCGAAATAAAGACAAGTGAACAAGCTATACGATGATACCAATATCTCTACATGCCCAAAAATTGACGAGAGCCTGATTTCACCACGATGCCTCACTGATTATTTAACGAGCCACTCATCATTAATAAATACTGCACGACTCAGAAAATATAATTTATCCGTCTTGGACGTCCAACCCACTCTCAGGGTATAAAGAATCTTTTTAGGATGACTCACATCATATTATTATATTAGTGTAAGTTGTTTGACGAAAATGTTCTATGGTAATATACCGGCAGTGTATATGGTGCAGCAGCTGTATAGGACGTTTCACTGTCGCACGCAGATGTCATGAGTTCGATCCCCAATTTGGGAGTTTTAAAAAGAATGGAATAGTTCTAAATTTTGTTGGGACTTTGTGTCCTCTTAATCTGGATAGACTCTGACATGAAGGGTCGAAGCAGCCTAAAACCTATATTAGAGTCGATTAGGGCTTAAAACACACAACTATACCATTACAATTGCAATGACAATGATATATTATTATGGTAATACATAATATATGATTTCAATTATGGTTAGCTTGTCACCTGACCTGAAAGGAATCATGTGGTCATGCGTCGAATTATACAGCCAGTTTATAGGTTCACAACGCGTCGCTTTTTTCTCGCCCATAACAGCCCCTATCGATTTTGTTTCGCATTACTGGCCTACTAAAGCAACATCACTTGGCTGGCATTGTCATATTGGGACGAAGTGTACCGAGAAATTTGTTTCAAAACTCCTGCAGTTATTATCTACAGTACGTTTCGTTTTTGTAAAGTGTTTTACGGCGCTCGCAACTGCATAAGGTCATATGAGCGCGCGGCACACACCTAATATTTTCAGTTGGTAGGAAATTTTGAATTTTGCCCGGGTGGCGGCCGAAGCCTACTCTTATCGATTTTAGACCACCAAGGGATCTTTAACGTGCGCAACTTGCCACGGGCCCTCCGAGATTTTTCGCCCTTGTCCGAGAAGGCTAGGTGTAGATCTTTCCTACCAGAAGATCAGGGGTGTGGCAGAAAGACAGCAGTTAGGAGGAGTCAAGGAGTAGCAGTAGAAAGGCTGCAGAAAGAGTCAGGAGCCCAGAGGAGGGGGCAAAGGAGGTGAGGGGGTAGGGGCAGAAAGTGGAAATGAAAGCAGACAACAGAACATTGCCAGAGAGCAGGAAAGGAGGTGAAAGGAGACAATTTTAGAGAAGAAAATGTTTCGGTCGCTACCCGGATTCGAACCCGGGACCTTTGAATGAGAGGCCAACACCTTAACCTCTATGCTTCGAGAGCCCTCATCTACAGTACAGTAAAGTTGCCAACATTTGCCCTGACAGTTTTAAACACTAAGTTGGGTATGTGTGACAAGTGTCTCTGCTGTATGCGGTAAAGTGGTCTGCCGTCGTACGTAGAAGACTTGACTTCAATTCTTACATGGGGAGGTTTTTCTTAATAGAGTGTCTTCGTCTGACGACTTGGAGGGAGGTTATTATTTCCCTCTCAGCCCGGGCTTGCCCTCACATATAGGACCGAAGCAGCCCACTTAATAGAGTGTCTTCGTCTGACGACTTGGAGGGAGGTTATTATTTCCCTCTCAGCCCGGGCTTGCCCTCACATATAGGAAGCAGCCCACTTAATAGAGTGTCTTCGTCTGACGACGACTTGGAGGGAGGTTATTATATCCCTCTCAGCCCGGGCTTGCCCTCACATATAGGACCGAAGCAGCCCACTTAATAGAGTGTCTTCGTCTGACGACTTGGAAGGAGGTTATTATTTCCCTCTCAGCCCGGGCTTGCCCTCACATATAGGACCGAAGCAGCCCACTTACTAAATTATCGAAATCGTATCAATGGAGGCGTAAAATACCTACAATTAATTTTTCATTAACAGAGACACATCGTGAAGCACCAGCCGGCCTCGATATTTTCAAGACTTTTCAAAATGCAACCCCCCCCCCCCCCCTCAATTAATTGTTTTTAAAAATCCGACAACGAACAACATCGGTGATGGGTTAAAGGGCACAAATTCCAACAGCTAGGTGATAATTATATTTGAAAAGGTCTTTTAACATTCTGCTCGTTTACATTTCAGCCTACTCAAGGAATAAGTCACTTCTGTCACATTTTGTCTCTACGCTCAATCATATTATAATTTCAGTTGACGTCCGTCCTATCCTCTGGTAAGAATTCTCCTGTAATTGTGTGATTTGGACTTACGCGTTAATTGAAAATCATATTTGTGGGTGGCTGGCAGGAGTTGCAGGTGCTCAGATGTTGTTTGTTCCTTTTTCTTATCAAGCACCTATTGGCTGTATTTTTCCTCTTCCTTGTCTTCGTATGTTATTCTCTAGTGACACCTTTAAACTTTGGCACTTATATATGACCGCCTTGTGTTGCAAGCGTTGAGAAACTTTTAATACATCTTTTTAAAATTTCAAAAGAATATTTTGTGGTAGCCCACATAATTAAGTTGAATGGTACGCATCTGCATAAAGAATATATAAGAAAATCTAGGTTCAATTCTCCGTGTGGGTAGGTTTTTTTTAACCCTCTCCATCTGTCGGCAGGCGTTGTATCTGTGTCAGCCTGGGTTGCCCCTGGCAGTCAAAGTCGAAGCAACCCGCCTCCTAATCGATGTACTTGGCTGCTTTGATGGTTTTGTTTGGTTGAGTAAAGAGAAGCACATCGGCACGATGATGGTCATAGCTAGGAAAAAGCAAGACCGACAGACAGACAGAAACAACAGAGGGAAAGTAAAGACTTGCTTTGATACTTGATGGGGGCGTAAAATCCTTGTAAAGAATCATCAGATCACTACTTTGTTTTCTGTATTTCCCCATGTTTGAACCCGTGCCCTCTGTTCTCTCTATGTCCAGGTGTACCCCACACACATCCGCTCTCTGGGCATGGGTTTCGGGAGCGGTTTGTCTCGGATAGGAGCATTACTTACGCCCTATCTGGCACAGGTGAGGATGAGAAAGGCTTAGTTTTTGTTTTGTTTTGTTCCGTTTTGCTTTATTTGGTTTTTGCTTTTGGATTTTTTTTTTTAACATGTTTTTGTTCAAGTCACGAGTAATAGGTGTTAGTTAGTTAGTTAGTATAGGGTTTTACGGCGCACGCAACTGCATAAGGTCATGTGAGCGCACGAAACACAAGTTAGTTTTGTTCACAACAATTTACTGTACGGCTGGCTCGGGTCAGTAGTCAAATCTTAAAAATGTTAAAATGTTTAAAAATCAGCGTAAATATATATATATATATTTTTTTTCGATCTAAAACAATTTTTCTAGTTAACATAACATTTTTAAATAATACCAATTTCACTTTATAATTAGCCATAAAGGCCAATGGCCTTCATAAAATTCAAAATTCTGCTGGGACCAAAGACGGAAAAAATGTCTTGCAATTTCTTGCATTTATAATATTTCCTTCGGATCTCTCCAAAGTCTAGGTAATAGGTGTCTAAGAAAATTTTGCCTTTCCGGGCTATACTTGTTTCGTACCTCGAAGTTTGTACAGACAAGGGATAGATATCTTTTAGATTTGCTAAGGGAAGAAACAGTTTTCTTGATGGCTCATTGAGAAATTACTTTTTTAAAGCAAAGATAGTTTATATTAGATACAGTTGAGAAAGAATAATTATTCCTTAAATTACCATAGACGCAAGAAAAAGAAAAAACCCCCCCAAAACCCAAAGACAAAATGACCACGATTTAAAAAACATTCCTAGGTGAACATATGTGGTCCTTCAGCCGGGTCACTTCAAAATGAATTCTTTATTGAATCATTGAACCGATTTTCCAATGAAATAGAGGCCCAGACCAAGTGCTTTTGTTTCCGAAACAAAATGCAATTTCAAAACACATCCCAAACAACAGGACAATGTGTAGATATTTACCACTCACAACCCCAGAATTACAAAGTTCTACTGCTCAGTACCTAGATCTAGTTTTGAGAAATTTGACGTTAAAAATTTTGAGTTGTACAATGTCAACAATCTTTTTCGAAAGCAATTCTTTGAATATCTTGATAAAGACTCCGACTATTCTTATGATTTTGACAGAGCAAATAGAGCATTAAATTTGTTTTAAGACCTCGTCTTTTTAGTAACTCAAAATGGCTAAAAATGTCAGAACTTTGTAATTCTAAGGTAGCGACATGCTATTCCTCAGAAAACTTCAGACGTACCATATTATTACATGTATATCATTGCGTATAAGATGGAACTTTTAAAACCTAAAAAACGGAGGCTTCAAAGTCTTTCCATGTCTTATCCATGAGATACGAAACCAGAAATGACTGCTCCATCGCACACTGTTGATTAGATCTTATGGTACTGACGAAAAAAATGGTTAATAACAAAAAAACAAACTTTGATTCGTTTTGTTTTGAAGCTTGGTTATTAATTTAATGAAAACTCCACCAACAAATATGATGGCGCTTGACATGATATATTCTTTGAGTTTTGTCCGATTAACATATTTACTCCAATGTTCTGGCTCTCCTCAAGTCTACGTGTTTTAACCACACATCCGTCCTACATGCGATGACAATAAATATAATACAGTACCAGTACTCATTATTTGTATTGTTCAGTGATTATTATGACAGCTCAGACATGCCCACCTCTTTTCCTCCATCTCCTAATCCCTACTTCCACCTCCCCCCCTCCCCTTCCCAGGTGGGCACAGAAAAGAACGCTTACATCGGCATCAACGGTTACGTCCTGTTTGGTATCATCACTATATGTCTGGTTCTCGCCCTCCCTATAGAGACTAAAGGTCGCTCTATGCAGGTCAGTACTGTTTAGTTTAGAATATTTTTGACCAGCGTTTGCTGAGGATAGGCACTTCTCCGTCACCTGCAGAACATCCGAGTTCACTTCCTATGTGAAGAGGATTTTTAATTAAGCGTCTCGGTATTTCTGCTGGCACGTTGTATCCCTCTCAGCATGAATTGGCCCTCCCCAATAGGCACAGTCAAAGTCCGCCTCCTATTTAATCTAAATTGTCTTAATCTAAATTGTTTGTTGGCTCGTTTGAACAACGAGAAGCACGTCGACACAGTACATGTAACAGTCGTTTAGCGCAGGGAAAGAGAAAGGCAGAAAGGGACAAACAACAGCAGGAGAGAAAAAAAAATAGAACCTACCAGTGGTGCCCTTTAAACCATCAACGATGAAACAGATTTCTCATAAGGGACACATAAGAAGACATTCTGAAATCAGATTAATATTTATTCAATGTGATGTCCATTGATGTGACCTATAGTTACCAAAATCGAAGATGTAGTAATAGATCTTGCAATATGGCAAAGCCTAAACATGCCGAATTGACTTCATCTCATCATGAGCTTGCCCTAGTTTGCTTCTGACTAACCTCTAACAGTTCTTTAATTCGTTTCATCATTTCTGTTGAGCGAGCTTCTCCTCCAGGTGTCAGGCCTGGAGCAGACATTGACGATTATGGTCCCCCTTTCCTTCCCATTGTCTGTCTACTTGATCTGCTCGGTTTTTCTCGTTGTGTTATTCTTTGCAAAGCAGCTAAGGCCATCTGTGTATGTTCTTGGTCTTCCTATCTTATTATTCCCCTCTCTCTCTGTCCACACAGCAGCAGTTTCTTTAGTCCATCTGATCTATCTTTGTGGCCAAGGAATATTAATAGTCTTTTTTCTGATAGTTCTGATTATGGATCTCTAACTTCCTGCCCTTTTTTGGAGCACTTCTCTGTTTGTTTTCCTCTCAGTCCATGAGATTGTGCGTATTTTTTTTAAATACTACATTTCAGCAGCCCCCTCGTCTTCTCTCGGTGTCATTGTTTAGAATTCAGCTCTCGCATCCATAAAAGGATTGACCATACGTACGCTTTCAATGTTCTTACTTTTGTGTTCACTGTTGTTATGTTGCTACTTGAGAGGATAGGTTTAATCTCGTTGAAAGTTTCTATAGATATTGCGATTCTCTTTTTAAAAAAATCTGTGCGTCGATTTTTGCATTTTTGGTGTAATTTTGCAGTCAAGGTATATATTGACCTGTTCTATTCTTTTGTTCTTACATGTGATTCTGCAAACTGGAATTCAGCAGTTTTCTTATATCGCATGCATTCAGTTTCCTTGGTGTTCAAAAGTAGGCCCTTATCTGTGCTTTCCTCTGTCAATTAGTTCTAATTTCTTGGAGCTTATTGGGAAATATGTTACGGAAATATTGTCTAATTCTTTAACTTCCTTTTTATAAAAACCGAAGTCTCAAAATTCAACAGCTGCTAAAGTTACACGCTCTTACTTCTTTAAGAAATGTTCAGCTAATTCAGCGATGAAATTTTAGAACCTATTTTACTCCTAGGGGCTAGATCTATATTACATAGAATGAGAAAAATGAGAAAAAAGGAAAAGATTTTGAAAAATAGCATCACTTTAAACACTATAGTGCGATCAAAAGTGCGTGGGGCAACTTATTGTCCATATCTCCTCAACCATCCAACATGAACTCTCCAGCTTTTACGCAGTGATTTGTATCTCTTTGTCTTAACAGCAGATCAATGTTTTTGTAGATCTATTCTAGAGAATTCCTTAGCGAATACTAATAGAAAATCTCAGTCTGTTGATTCTACAGATTTTTAAAAGTTTATGGCTGGGACAATATTGCTTTTAAACGCAAGTTCGTCTTTTTTTTCTAATTACTAGATTATATTTATTGAGCGCATGTTTTGAAAACTTTTAGTTCAAAGAAGTGTTCACTATAAAATATATTTTTTTAACTGTTCTAGATTTGCCACGTAAAAGTATCATTGGTGAGCTGTGACGTAGGCCATATGCATACGGTACGCAAAATGTATAGGAGAAGCGGGTAGTGCTGTAAACAATTCCATTTTCCGCGTGAAGGAGATTTATAGTACTTTATATAAATTATTTATGAGAAAAGTTTTAAAAGCTAACCTCAACTGTTTTGGAAAAATATGATTAAGTTTAGACAAATTTGTACAAACTGGTGTGTCAAGTATGGGTGACATTGATTCACACGTTAAAATATTCGAGGATAGACAAGTTGCGCCACGAATTTTTGACCGCACTATAGGACTGTACAGTTGACAAATATTGCATAGCATTATTTGTGGCTCTAAAGATCTATACAAGAAGTAAGGCTGTTGGGCCAGCAGCCAAAAAGTTTGTGACAGTGGAAAAGACGTTTTATTTAAATTTTCCCCACTTCATCAAGGTGGAAATGCGTCCTCGTACCCAGCTATAGACAGTGAAATATTTTGCCATTAAAATAGCATGTCTGAGAGATGTAGGGTCTGCTTAGGGTATAGCCGTAGAAATCTTTGTAAAGTGCATAAAACATGCAGTAGAGCATGTATAATATGCTTACATAAATGCTGCCATTATCAATACACTGTGATGATGATGATGATGATGATGATGATGATGATGATGATGATGATGATGATGACGATGATAATGATGATGATGATGATGATGATGATGATGATGATGATGATGCCTTAAAATTCATAAAATACCAAGTCGCCATATAAGACCTACTTCTTGTTTTTTCTTTTTGTACATACAACTTCGAGGGGTTCGAGCGTCCGCTCTGTCCGACGTTGTGTCCTTGGGAAAGCACTTTACAGGATTTTCCCACTTGGCTTGGTCCTTTCGGAGATGGACGTTGTCTTTTAGGTCCCGCCTCTTAAATAACCTAATTGTGTTGAAAGGGGTGCTAAACCTATATCATTTAACCATTTTTATTTCTACAACAACGATTACGATTGTTACTTTTGCTGTACCTTTTCAGGACACGGAGGAGTACACTGAGCTAGACAACTGACCACTGATCACTGTCCACTGTCCCGCCAACAAAATGAGGACAAATTTCGCCATTGGATGGTAGACAAACGTTACCGAACACAGACGTGACGTCAGTAGTGGACGCCATGACGTCAGTCACTGACCAGAGAGATCACACTGACCGCTTCTCTGACTGATACACAAACTGATACACTCATCGATACTCTCATCGATACTCTCATCGATATAACCGATACATTGACAGAGCGCTCATATGACCTTATGCAGTTGCGAGAACCATAAAACACTTACCAAAAATAACATGCACACACACACTGACCGATGTACTCACCGATATATAGAGCGATACTCCGACCGACACTCTGACCCATACACTGACCCATACACTGACCGATATACTGACGATATACTGACCGATATACTGACGATATACTGACCGATAACCTGACCGACCATTGGACGGTGGACGAGTGTCATCAACAACAGACGTGACACACTAGACCAACACACTGACCATTGCACTGACCAATAATATACTCATCGACATAGAGAACAACACACCGACCGACACACTGACCATTGCACTGACCGATACACTGATCGACACAGGGAACAACACACCGACCGACACACTGACCATTGCACTGACCGATACACTGATCGACACAGGGAACAACACACCGACCGACACACTGACCCACACGAAGACTGACACAAACACACTCACCGACGCGCTAACTGATACACTGACGGGAAAATCGACACAATGACCGATACACTTATCTGTACACTAATAGATACATGTGCTCCGAAACAACGACGGATGTCCTCACCGACACGATATACAAAGCGACCGACATTATGATCAACACTCTGACACACTGTCTGGTACAATGATCAACGCATCTACCGACATACGTACCGATACATTGACCAAAATGTCCGATTGTTTCTATATATCCCCTGTGAAGGAAAGATGAGACATGGATTTTTCTCGCTCTCCCTTACAACAAAGCACCATCTTCTTCCACATTCAAAGCGTGACTGAGTACTGCTTGGAATCAAAAGGTTGTAGACTAGATTCCAGAAACGTGTTCTTACTTGACCATTGGAAGATCGAGCTGGGAATTATAATAATTATAATAATACAACTTCAATTTCCAACTTTTAGGAAGTTAAATCACGACTGTTGAGTTTGTTGAAAAGTTTTTCCATTTAGAGACCAAACAAATTTTTTAAAAATGTACTAACTATGGTTACAGCCCGTGTTTCGTAGAATTTCAAATGCACTCTGTATTACCTCTTGTTTTCGCGGCGGATTTCAGTGCTTTCGAGGAAATTTACGCCAAAATCGGAGAAGTGAAGGGAGTACAACTTACAAAATTGCACGATTCTGGCGACATGTATGTAGAACATATTATATTTATGACAATGAAAATGTCGAAAATCGAAAAAGGGGACTTAATGAATTAATTGTGACTCACTGTGGTGAAAACAGGCGCTCTTCTAAATAATGGAATCAAAGAAACCGGCATTGTCCTGCTCGTTTGGCAATTTTGATCATGTGTTTCTTCTCAGCCACTTTTATTTTAATTTGCAAAATCATTTCTATGTGAATTTCACTAAAACACACAAAAGGCCTTGGTCAAAGGCACAAAAAAGTGAAATTGTAGTTTTCAAGGGCATTAAAGGTAATATTATTATGATGGATGTCACCAAACTTTGGCGGTAATCTTCTCGCTAATTTTACTTCGGAAACCAGCGACACCCCCCCCCCCCCCCCTTT